AGATCAAAATACATAAATGTAGGTTATGTTTGATTTCTAAATCAGGGTGTTGTGGACAGATGTTTGAAACCTTAAGATGACTCAGATTCATTTGTTGCGTGGCTTTCTGCCTGGATAACCGTACTGTAGATGATGCCATGTCTGCTTTACTGATGTATTGCCGTGGTGATGACATATGTAATTTTATCATAACCTTTCTGTTAATGGCCCAAACTGTGTCTTCTGTAATGACCATGCAACCAAACCACACTGAATGTGAAGGACTACTTCTGTCTTTAGTGCCAGCTGATCCCAGTCAGATAACATGAAAGGTGATCATTACTTTCACCCTTTTCTGTATTTCTTTCAACTTTATCCAGCTCGAGGTGGCAGACCCGAAATGATCGGTGTTGTTATTTGATGCAGTATGCCCAGCTGTTTCTTCACTGTGTGGCTGTCCTCATCTGTATATGGAGCGCAGTCAGCCAGGGCTTTTACAGACAACATTTCAGTGACCATTTTATTTGAATATGTGTTCCCCTCTGTGGATTTTCATGGTTATGTTGCAGTTTTTGCAGCTAATTTTTCATCAGAAAAGTAGCTGATGTATTCTTTCTCAGTACGTTTAGACTTTTATTTGGAATCTGATTCAAAACTCTTTTTGAGTAAACAGAAAGGCTTGCATAAAAAGATGTCACAGATCTTTGAAGTTACTTTTATTTATCAAGATAAGAATGGCAATAGAACGGGGACAGCATTTTTTTGTTTGTGTCCTTACATCAGGATAATAAAAAAAAATTGTTTTGGTTCTTTAGTTTTAACCTAATTAATGCACTGAGAATGCAAGCTGCTTAATGGAACAGGGACATCTTTATGGCAAGTTTGTTTCTTTTGCAAAGCAACCATGAAAATGCTAAACCCTTGCACATTTTAACTTAGTTATTCTATGGCTGCCTTCTTGTTTATAAATTAAATATTTATACTCTCCTGTTTTGTTACCCCTTATTGCCCCTGGTGTGACTGTTCAAAGAACTCTCTGTCTGGGGTGTTGCAGCAGAGCAGATTCAGACAGTTCTGCTCGGAGAAGGAAGTGGAGAGTTTTGGTTCCCATTTTGCACTTCTGGAACAGTTTAGGGAAGGAAGCACCTTTACACCTTTTATTGTTCGTGGTTGCTGACATCATATCCTTCCCTGACCACTCTGTGCGTGTTTCCTGCCATTCTATCGAGATTCTTCTGTGTTGCAGAGAAGGGATAGTGGGTGTGCATGTGTGTGAGTGTATGTGTGCGCGTGTCTATGTCCGGCGTGAATGTACGAAATAGAGACAGGAGCGGTCAACTGATCTGCTGCATTTGTCCATTAGCTCTTTTCCCTTCTCAAGGCTCAGATCAATCTTCTGTCAGCTACCACTGCCTCTGCCAAATCATATAGTGAACAGAAGCCCGCCAAAAATGAAGTTCCTCTTTTTGTAAGCAGTCTGATTTTTGTTGTTTTTTGGTGGTTTTTTTTAATGTTTGGGTTTGCGAAAAGAAAAAATGCTGAAGATTGTAACACCATAGCATGTAACTATGTGTTTCTTTCAGTGCAATTTGTTTGCATGTAACCATGTCATTAAGTTGGAAGGTTTCTTTTATGTGGAGAGTTACTCCAACAAAGCTGCTGGAATTATTTTGAGTTCCTTTTTAGATTCTCTTGGGTAATGAAAGCCTGCACTACTACTTGAGTTTTGTAGTACCTTCAACTTTTCTAGCTAGTATGCTTTATTAGTGTTAGGGAAATACAATTTATCGGTTAACAGGAACTTTAAATACTTAATATGTAATCCTTAATCCTGCAAGAACTTTCAAGAAGTATTGAGAACACTGGTGAAGTCCTAAAGCATCCTTGGGCATCTCTTGGTCTCCAGAGTTCTTTACATTCTGTTTGACTCGGAAGTCACCAGCCCTTGAAGGTTACAGTCCTTGAATCAGAGGTCTTGATTTACTTATCTGAATCTAATTGATTTGGAATCAGTCCAGCTGTCTGCTTTATATATGTGCATGTGCAAATGTGTATTCTAATGAAATGAACAGAGCTGTAAGCAAAGACACAGTAAGAATAGCACGTGAAGCAGTGTGTGTTGATACGTATATATGTGTAAAAAAGAAATAGAGGATGCTACAGCATTCCCAATTTGTTTCTAGTAGCAGTAAAAATAGCAGAAATTATTTTTAAAAACGGAAATAAATTTGCTAGAAAAACTGAAAAGCTTTTATTTTAAATTAGGCTAGTAAGCAAAAAGCAAACAGGAGAGAGAATTTTTTCATCAATGCAAGAAAATTTAACCTGGTGCCTGTTGAAGCAAAATTATGTTTCTTTGCCAATTGCATTTGATACATATGGCCTAACACATTCTGTCTTCTCCTCCAGGTTCTCTCAGATTGTATAATATTTAATAACCAAATCATCCTCGCTCCCCTTCAGCTTTGTTTTCCTGCACATCTATATTTCCTCTTATAATAAAACTGCTGCATTTAGTGGATTACTACAGATAACGAAGAACAAAATTCTGCTCATCAAGTGTTGCATGAGTTACTTTAAGATAATTTTGTGTAGATCAGAGGAATTTTAAGTGTTCTGACTTTAAACTGCCTATAAAAGCTTTTGTTGTTTGAAGACTGGTCTTAAATGTGGAACTGATAAGCATGTGGGAGGGACTCGGCATATTGCTCCTCCACTAGGATTTTTGTCCTTCCTGGTAGATTTTCTCAATGTTCAATGATTTCTTTTCTGAACTCGCTCAGCATCAGCATCTTGATCTGGTGAGCAGCTCTCATCCTTGCTAACCTGTCACCACTGCTCTAATCTGTCCACCCCGACCTTCCACTTCGCAGTGAATAAGAGCTTAGGCAGGCGTAGAGCTGTAAGCCGATAGTGCCACTGCCTTCAGCTGAATGAAAGGAAAGGAAATTGTTCCATATGCATTTGCTGTGGATTAGCGTATTGGCTTACTGTTACAGAGAAAGCCTGTTAGACTCCTTTGGGTCCTGCATGTGCACGGGAAGCACCATTCTAACTTGCTGTTTGTATTGGAGGTAAGACTATAGGAAAAACAGGAAAGAAACCCAGTCCGAGGAAGTTTGAAACTGTTTCTAAAAATAAACTGGGTTTGTTTGTCAACACTGAATATCAGATAAGACTGTCTCCTAGCTTTGTTTGGGAAAAAAGTTTTATAAATACATTTAATCAACTTAATTTACTTCAAAGTTTTGGACTTCTATTTTTTCTTGTAAATACAATCAAGCGCCTTTGTGTCTTTTTAAGCAGTGAGAAGTTGAACTGTTCTCAAAAAAGTAAAAAGCAGCAAAAAAATTTTGCAGCCTTACACTGTATTATATTGGCAATATGAATTGTTCCATGTTCTGCACTATGGTAATGATTTAAGCATATATAAATACGCCTAGCAAATAATATAAAAAGGCATTCATGTACAGAAAGGTAATAAGTGTTATGCCTGAAAATGTCTTTTGCCCAGCAGATTAATTATATCAAAGTGGATAGTTAGAAAACTCAGACCGACTGCTTATTTGTTAACTTTTTTTTTTTTTTTTCTTGGAGCAATAAAACACTTGAGCAGCTTAAAGTTTAATGTATGCAAAGAAAATCAAGAGAGAATTGAAGATCAGATTGAGTGAGGTCTAGCTTTTCTACCTCAGTAGCTTTGAATCGGAGCCAAATAATGGATTAAATGGCCAGGACATCGGCTTAGTGTTACGTAACATATTGTGAGAATTTATCAGGTTGGCTGTGAGACTGCAAGCTTAAAATAAATAAGGAAACACCAGCCTCCGTTTTAAAACTACTAATTTTTTATTTCCAAGGTGATATTTTTAATAAACTATGGATCTAACATAAATTTTTTTAAAAATACTTTTAAATTAATCTTGTTGAGATTTTTTTCTCTCCTCTGTATTTAAAAGAGCTCTGTGCTTTTCTGTTCAAAATATGTAAATATAAAAATATGGTAAACGAAGGTTAAAAAGGGAAAAAAATTGCATCTCTTACTTTAGTACTAGACTGAACATCATTTCCATATTTTCTTCTATTTCTATCAAGTCTTTTATTGCAAAAAATACTTTGCATATGATAGACATGAATTTAGTGATTTATGACATTTTGTGAAGTATGGAGTGTGTACTGCATTATGTATTTTTGTATATTGCATCTAACTGTCTTTAGTTTTGCGATACAACCAGTATTGTATAGTTCAGGGAGCTAGTATCAGTGCATTACTAAAACTAAAAATATTTTTCAAAACATTCTTAAATTATCATCTGTCCCTATTGTTCTGTGTCATATAGCTTGTCTTTCAGTGTAAGAATTTTTATAAGAAAATATATACGTGTTTTCTATTTATAAATAATTTGTCAGAATGTTTTAGAATTTACATTGAAATGAAATGAGGGAAAACGCACTACTGTTGTTCAAGTATCTTGAATAATTCTTGTACTAATCTATATTTTTAAAGAAGAAGGTTAAAAATTTTGGATTTAAAGTAGCTGACATCTCCCATATATCAAGTAACACTTTAATAAAGGTCCATCCTATTTGCATAATGAGGGACATTATCACCTCTGCTGTCAAAACACAAGATTGTTTTCCCTTCAGAAATGAATTAGCTGGCCTACTTAGCATACATAGGTACAGAAAGGTTCATTAACTCTCTGATTTAGGTAATTTTTCATATTAGAGCAGTGAGTGATATTTAAAACTAGAGACACCTAATTCTGTTAAAGTTTTGGCAATGGATATTTCAGTCCTTTTCTTCATTTCTTGATATATTGGCAGGTTTCTTCATAAAAAGAAGCCTGTGAATTAAATTATTATTTCTCTATGCATTACTTCTTTTGTAGATGCAGTAATTTTTTATTATAATTTACCTGTACACTCAATTATAATGAGCATGCTTGGTCAGGTCCATATAATAACTTTCAGCTAGTTATCAATTTTGTAATAACATTTGATTTCCTTTCTGTGTTTAGCAGGAACGGATGCAGGGGACTGTGAACTGAGTAGAGCAAGTGTTGAAGAAGGAGGTTTGTTTTGAGGAAGCGGGAAAGAGGAAGAAAAGAGAAGGGGAAAATACATAATTTTAAGGAAGAAGGAGAGAAAAAAAAACGGGGACTATGGGGAGAAAAAAGATTCAGATTACAAGGATTATGGATGAACGTAACAGACAGGTGAGTAGCAAAAATACCATATTTGACCATCATATTATATTTCTAAGGTGACTTATTCTCCTCAGTGATTAAAAAGTTGATAACTTTGTGTACATATACCTACATATATGTATACATATACACAATGTATGGAAGACTGTCAAAGAAAAAGTACTTTTGGAAACATCCTGAAACCTCACACACAGTTTTTTCAAGTTGGTAACATGCATAGTTTGGAATTTATTACTTGAGGCCTTGATTCTACAAAGATTGATGTGTGTGCTCTACTTTGGGCTCCCTCTGCACACACTTTGACTTCAGTGTGTACTATACACGGTTAAGCTTATCTGAAGTTGTTACAGGATGCAGGCTTATAGTACTGTATTTTGTGAACTATTATAATAGGAGTTTATTTGCAGGAAGAGTTGCATTTAAATGCATAGATCCAAATTATTTATGCTTCTATATGTTTGCAGTGTTTTTATTTTTACTTCCTTCATATAAAAATGACACTTCATAAAAAATCTCATCTTTTTCTGTCTGAATTTTGAAAAGAATTTGAGTAGCCTAACACATTCTAAAATCCACATACAATAATAGTGGTGTATTGTAGTTACAAAACAACGTCTCTGTTACTTACGCAATGGCTAAACAGGTCCAGCAGGACCGGTTAATTAATTATTACCACTGCTTTAGATAAAATGGCTGAATAGCTGTCACATATTATCAACACTATCTTTGCTAGTTAAAATATGGTCATAAATTAGAGAAACTGCTTTCCTGTTTTCAGAAAAATAAAATTCAACAATTGGCATCTTAAAATCAGCGAAAAGCTGCTGCTATTTACGTGTGTTGTAAACTGATGGATGTTTTGTTGAAGCTGGAGATTCACTAGTGTGAGAAACTCTCCATAAAATTATTTAACACTATGATTAGCGTTCTTCATACATGTGGCTGCAATTTAGGAGTAATCTTCATTAGCTGTGTTGTAAGAACTTGATACTGAGTTACTATTAATCCATTAGTTCTATTCATTTGATCTACAAATTTCTTCATATATTCAGGTTGGTTTTTAAGAAGTTACGATGTTAGTCTTCAGGGACTTTATAAAGCCATAAAAAACTCAGCCTAGATATAACAACAAATTATAATCTTTAATTATGCTTTCCAAGAAATTTTAAATTTTATAGTTTTAGTAGTCACTTGTGTTTCCCATGGCAGAAAATCATGTATAAAAGCAAAATTATATTTTTGATGGATACATTCTGTGTTTTCCCTAAAGGTTGCCTATTGCTGTGGGCCAAGTAAAAAAGCAATAATTCTATCAATATCAAATTGTCACCATATTTATTTTAATTTGTTTATAGCTTGAAATTGAAATTGGATTTTAAATATTGAACTGAATTTATCACTAAACATTAAAACACTAGTTGTTTGTAATTTTCTCATACTATCATGGCTTCTTTTTGAAGTGAACCTGAATTATTTTGTAAATGATACGAAACTACAAAATTTTGCCATTAGTAACAATAGTTCATACAATAGCTTCAGTGTTAACTTGCTTACTCAAATACAGGATATACGGAGAACTTAATCCCGAATTTTGCCAAAGAGATATCTTACAAAAGGCTAAATTTACTTTAAAGAATGAAGACAGTTAGACTTTCAAGTCATTTACAGTAGAGCTTCACAACTTCTAGCACCAGCTTTCAGAACTAATAATTATGAATAAAACTGTAACACTAGAATACTAACAACTATAGTGTTAATACAGAAAGTGTTTATCTTGCTAGCATTTGATAATATCCATCATGCTGATTAGTCACTGCGAGGCTGAAAGTATAGATTTACATTATTTTACTCTCCATATTGTATAATTGGCTTGATTCTGCTTCGCATTTCTACTAATACACTGAAACATAATTTAGAAGTGTTTCTACTGGTTTTATCCTCTTTGCATTTAGTGCCCTGAGTTAAAGCTCAGTGAAGCCAATGAAAAGATTTCCATTGATTCATTTGGACTATGAGATCAGGTTTTTTAGTTGTAGCGATATACATGTGATTAAATACAACTGGATTTTCACTAGTAGCTGATTGATCTTATTACCATTTGTGTGAGATGTCCTCCTTCACAAGCTTTACTGTTTTGTAAAATATAATGTATCCCATGAGCTCTTGCTGCTTCAGTGAAGCAGCAAGTTTGTTTGTTTTCTAACCTACACACTTCCAGTAATCTTAAAATAATAACTGGTTTATATTCCTTTTTTTTTTTTTTTAATAACATGAATATAATTGAATGCACAGAAAAGATTAAAAGGTTGCACCGGGGGAAAAAAGAAAAAGAAAAAAAAAGTTTAAAAGTTTTTGATTAATAAAATTAAGATACCAGCACAGTTCCACAAAGCTTATTTGTAGCTCCATTCACCATGATATGGATGGAGACTGTTTTCTTTTCTTTCTTCCTCCCTCACTGAAAGATGTTTGCAAGAAGAGCAGCAGATCTGTTGACTTGAAACTGCTTTGTTGTTGCTCATCATCAGACTCATTGTGGTATCACAATACAAGGCACGTAGATGGGAATATGATATACATGGTAGTGCATCCTCAGCTGTTTTCGGGGACATAAATTCTCTGTAGGACAGCACATGCAGGGAAAAATAGGTGGAACACGTATTGAACGAAGGGATATAGCAATAGTTTGGTTCTTCTGCCCTCTCCTAGTGCAAGGGTAAATCTGTTTGGGTAACAGAGTTTTTGGAAAAGGGTTTAAGCTGTTACAAGGCCTGCAGAAGGCAATTTCTGTCCTTGCTTTTCCACTCATTTGCCCAGTGTCCTGACTAGCTATTTATGTTAACCATTGAATGGAGTACTTGTGCTATCAGTATAACAGCTGTTTTCTTCCACACTACTGTCTGCTATGGTAGGAGACTCCAGTGCTGTTCAAAGTGCTTGAATGAGTGGATTGGGAAGGACAAAAATAGTGCTGACCTCCCTTCAAGAGCATTTCTTCTGAACAAGTCTAGTTGGTTGGATTTGTGTACTTTAGTGACCATACTTGTAATAAATGTAAGTTGAAACTGTCCAGAGTCAGATGTCTGGCTGCAAACATCATAGAAATGTGCAATATGGGGATATGATCTGCACTTTTCCAAAAACTATTTGAAACTTTGACATTTTGGGATAAGTTAAAGGAAAACTACTGCAACCTAGACATTAGAGGCCCAGTCCTTTTACCCTGGTCTGCATAAGAGCTCTGTCATTGACTTCAGTGAGCACAGAATTCAGGCTTTCAACTGGGAGGAGCCATTCATTTAATGTTGTTTCATGTGGGCTGCCAGTTGGCTGTATTTTCCTGGCCCTCATAGTTACCGTGTGGTGACGAAGGTGGCAAGGATGTTTGAATCTTCTATGAATTATCACAATCTTTTTTCGGTTATGAAAGTTTCAGAAAAGCCCATCTGAATAATTCTCTTTCACTCTGCTTTTAGCCACAGGGAGAAAGAGTAAGAGTAACTGCCAGGGCTAGAGTAAATGTGTATTTATTTGTGTAGTTTAGTTACCATCATCATCAAATGGAAATGAAAGCTCTCTAGAGAATCCTGTTATAGGCACCCAACGTGACCAGAGACTTTCTTTTTACTATTGCAGCACTGGATAATATAGTCGTGGAATGAATCTTTGGTAGTGTTGCTCAGGCTCATGAGATCATGGTAGCCTGTCAACAGCCCATTCGAGAAGACTGCATATGTGATAATTACTTGCACGACCAATAGAACCGTAGCCAAAAATATTAGCACTGACATCTGATATTGGAAGGTCCTGACTGCTACAAGTTTTTTGTGCAGAAATTTCAATCAGGCAGATTGGAAAAGGCTGCTGTGAAGAATTCTGGGTTGTTTAAAAAAAAAAAAAAAGAAAAAAAAGAGGAAGGGCATTTGCAGAAACATGGGTGAACTTTATTTTCATGTGTTTTCTTAATTGAAAGAGATAATTCATCTAGCTCTATTATGATCAACACATGAAGGAAAAATTGCATTCATCTTCCTCAGAAAAGTCCTTATATTTTTTCTATTTGCTTTTCATCAGTTTGAAATATTTTGTTAGTTTTAATGAGGGACTGTTGTGGTGTGCGGTAGACAGGGATCATCTGAAACTTTTTGCAACAGTCCAGGCAGGGCTGCCCAGGCCTAAAATAAATGGGTGTGATGACACAAATGATATTGTATTACTGTTATATGAGTTCACTTACAAAATATCTCATTAAATCCATGGTCTGTGAGCTAAATCCAGAGGTACACTGACCCAGGAAAGAGGGCATACTGAGCCAATGACATTCTGCTGTCAGGTCTGGAACACACTCTTGCTTTTAATCCACTGGTTTTTCTAGTTAATATTAAAAAATATCAGGTCTTATATGGCGATCCACCATTTCTTACCCCTCTGATCATCTTGCTCGTTAGTTCTGCATTTTTTTCCTGCTCGTGAAGCAGGCTGTTGACAGATCCACACTTAAAACTGAGTTGAGCTTAGCTAATGATTCTGCATACTGTTTAAAATATTTCTTTCAATTTGTAATAAGCTGCTGGGAGGTTAAGTGTTATTAAATACCATAGGAAGAGTACACTTCATTATTAAGGTGCTTAAATAGTAAGACATCCTTTTTAAAGTATCATGCCTGTGTAAGTCTATAGGGTACGACAGTAACAAACACGTGCTGTTTAACTTTTTTATGCATCGGCTTTTTATCATTCTTTGATTCCAGCAAATCTGTGAAGGTATGAACCAAGACTTACTGCAGTTATCAGCTCAATAGAGAACAAATTAAAGCAGATAAGTAAAGTGAGGTTATGGGGCAGGGGAAGAATATCCTGGAGGGAAATGACCGTTTGCAGGAAGACCTAGATTTGTTCTACTGACTTCGATACCTAATGCTGCTAGTTTCAAAACTAATTTCAGCCTCGTGTATCTATTTTTATCTGTGTTTCAGCTCTATTTAAAAGGAAAGAGTAAAAGAGTATCAT